CATCACACATGCCACAATCCCAAGGCTTTTGCATTAGTGTGAGAGATAAGAGCCTGAACCAAGATTAGGGCTGAAGGTTTGGAGAAGTGGAAGGTGATTCAGAAGAGATGTAAAAGGTTAAAACAATGAAATATTGTGCTTGATTGAATATAAGGAGTTAAGGGAAAGGAGGGAATTTGGGATGAATCCCCAAATGTCTGACTTAGTTAGCTTTATGAAAATGCACCTTCCTGCAAAGGGAATACTGGCCACTGGGGCTAGGGAGGAAAGGGGATGGTGACTTCAGTTTGAAAGTGTCCAGTACAAGAAGCTGTAGGAGGAATAGTGGGTGTCTTTTTTTTTTAAGATTTTATTTATTTATTTTGACAGAGAGACAGACAGCGAGAAAGGGAATACAAGCAGGGGGAGTGGGAGAGGGAGAAGCAGGCTTCCCGCTGAGCAGGGAGCCCAATGCAGGGCTTGATCCCAGGACCCTGGGATCATGACCTCAGCTGAAGGCAGACGCTTAACGACTGAGCCACCCAGGCGCCCTGAATAGTGGGTGTCTTGTGTTAGCAAGTCCAAGAGGCAATTGGGTTATATGGATTTGGGACTAGAGAACGACTTGGTAGCCAGTGGCATATATATGATAGTATAAAACCTTCGGCACAGATTCAATTAGTGGAGGAGATTTTATTTAGAAGAAAAGAGATCCAGTAGAGAACCCTAAAGAATACAACATAGAAGAGGCAGCAGAATAAGATGAGCTCGCAGAGTAGCCTAGGAAGAAATAACTAGTAGATCTAGAGAGCAGGACAAGACACCAACTTGCTGTGGAACTCTCCATCAGTAAAGCAAATGTAGGTAACTCAGTAAAAAATGGCAAACACTGTCATCGATCTCATTATAAAAATTATTGACTTCAAAGGATCTTATTTTTATTAAAAATTATGATGATTTTTTAAGTGACCTGTGTATGCACTGAGTGCCATTTGGATACTAAGCCTTGATGAATCTTGAGACTTGACATCAAGAAGTCAGCAGATAACAGTGTCGGGGCATACAACATGGTTTCGTTAGAAAGCTTGGCCTCAAAGATGTGTTAAGGGTGAACCAATGACCCATAAGCAGGGGTAAGATCCCAGAACACAATGGCACTCTCCTCTCAGTCCCTTGGAATCTGAAGGCATGGCAAAATTAAGCAGCTTTCTCTTCATGGCTATAAAGGAATTTGAGTTAAGGCAAGTTGATGGAGCACTTGTCCTTCCAAGCAATTGAAGGAGTTTGCCCCAGAAAGGCTAAAAGAAGGGTCAAGTTGTTTTGTTATTGAGATACTTGCGGTTGGGGAAAGAAAGAAAAAGCACCAGTGTTTTTACAGGATGAATAAGCGGAGAAACCAGATTGTGGGGTGGGGTGGTGATGAAGGTTGACGCAAATGAGGGGTATTATATCAGCTTGTTTCCCAATCACACCTTTTGGATGCTACAACCAATGTGAGCCTCCAAGTGCTGTGATTATCGGGGCCTGCATTGGAAGGGGAGAAAGTAAAGCAAGACCTCGGGCACCACAGTGCTTTCATTACTGTCTGCTATTTATTTTGCAGCTGGGAAATTACAGTGGGTGGAAGAGTCTCATAAAGGAGTTGGATCCTTGCAATGCTGAAAGGATAGTCAGTAGAACCCATATACACTCGGAGATCTCACGGCAGACCAAAGGGCAAAGGCTGGGATGGAGAGGGAAAGCCAAATGGAAATCTGCACAAAGAAGCATGAAGAAACTCCGCAGAGCTTCAGGAGCGTAGAGGGAGAGTGAACGTATGAGCAGCATAGCCTTACTGTTTCTGTGGATGTGGTCTGCTTTCCCAGAGTTGGTAGCTCTTACTGTTGTGTAGCCTTTTATTTGTTAATTCTTCATGCTTTATTTCAAACAGCATCTGACTCATACTAGGATCATCCCATGTGCGGCAGCTGCACATTTTCATGGCGGCCTCTGCACATTTTTCTTCGAAATGTTCTTGCTCAGTAATAGGGTCAAGAGGCCAATAGCCAGAATGTGTTCAAGGATAAATGGTTTTCCTTGTAGTGGTGGAAAAAATGCAAAGGATAAAAACCAGGTGGGGGCAGAACTGAAGCAATGGGTGGTTAGCCCTCTCCTACGAAATTTGAAGGTTCGGGCAGATTTGTGATTACCTTCACGAAGTTATGATCATTTGAAATAATCCCTACAACTGGGGTGGTGGGTGGCTCAGTCAGTTAAGCATCCAGCTCTTGATTTCAGCTCAGGTTATGATCTCAGGGTGGTGAGATCGAGCCCCACGACAGGCTCTGCTCTGGGCTTGGAGTCTGCTTAAGATTCTCTCTCCCTCTCCCACTGCCCCTCCGGCCCCCAAAAATTAAAAATCTATTTAATAAAAAATAATTCATACAACTGAGAAATTGTTCATGCAGTAGTAATTACTTATATGGTTCTGAGCCAGTGCAATGACTTCTCCTGGGGCAAAGGAAAACACTGTATGTTTTAGATGGTCGAGGAGGACGAGGAACAAGAAAGAGAAGAGAGAGCCATCACCACATCATTCATGTTAGAGGTGCATTCAGATTTGGAACGACCACTCTTGATTGCTTTAGACACATTTAATTCAGACATCTAGAACTTTGTTCCTTTAAGTATGGACTTTGGAGATCTGGGGAGACAACAAGAATGCACAGCCAACTGTGTAAAAGGCTGTACCTTGAGCTCAACTGATAGAAATCTTTGAGCGCCATTAAGTTATTTTCTGATTTCCTTAAACTTTAGAAGAACTTAAAACTTCATGTTCCAAGTTATACTCCCTTTTTTGCTGGCTATTCTGGGCTAGTCACTAGCTTCTAGAAAAATGAATTTAGTAATGACTACTATTGACCATTTCATTTTTCCAAAAACCCGTGCAGCATCCTGAGTGAAGAACTAAAACAACAGATGACTCTTGGGGTAAATTCCTGTTCTAAAACCAGTCCTACATGTGGAACAAAATCCTAGAATTAAATTACGGTGTCCACTCTGCTCCCATCACCACCAACAAAGAAACTGTTTTGAGGAATGTGTTGGTGTGAGGAAGGACAGTGGTATTGTGTTATGTTAATAACCTTCATGCTGTGTAAGAAAGTACCCCAGAAATTGCTTTTAGCTTTCCTAGATAGTCTAAACTCTTGTTAGATTAGCAGCTATACAGGAGAATATCTGATAGAGTTAACTAGTAAAAATCCTTTCCAAGACTTCATAATGAAGGAGCCCCTGTCGTTACATAGTATCTACTAGTTTAGGGATTCCATTTCCGGTCACGGTTGTCCCAAGACTGATCCTGAACACCCAGGAGCGCCTCTGCAGATACTCCCATTGGTTCACCAAGGCTTCAGATGAACATCTGTCCAGTGGCTTACGTCCTAAAAGTGTCTGCCTTTCTCCGTCACGATTCTTAACGGCACAAGATTTCATTTTACTTTTGCTTTTAAACACAAAGGACCCGCCATTTGGATTTTTAATTTAGAATTCCTTTTTACTTTAGGAAAGTTGATCTAAAACAAAAGTAGTCTTCTCTAAAACAAGTTTTTCCCCAGTAAATGATATCCATCTCCCCGAACATACTCCTAAACTCCCAAAGAAGTTATATTCCCCTTCTCTCATCTCTTTGCCTCTGTGTGCAAATGTTATTAACGGGTTCACATGGATTCTTTAGCTGGTGTTTAAAGTTAAAAGCAGAGCCATGTGATATCATAAAAGGACTGGAGAAAATGGTGTTTGCTGTGACTGACTTGGACTCCTCCCCCTTCATCTCTTGTGTTCAGTCTTGCGTACATGGGAAGGGCATGGGTTAAGGCCATGACTGCGTAGGGGACACATCAGGTTAAGGACTCTTGATTATCCAGACCATTTTGCCCTCTGTCCACACACCATGGTGTGACCCTGAGGATGCGGGATGAAGGTGAGACTGTGACATCAAGAGAGAGGGGTACTAATGCATTAAGGTATTAAGAAGAGCTTTTGTTGATTGGGTTAGAGGATAAAGCTGAATCCTCCCAGCAGCCCTGAGAGGTAGGTGGTATTATGCCCATTTGACAGATGAGGAAACATGGTCTTATGTTAAGAATCTTGCCCAAATTCACACAAACAGTGGGAGCTTGGAGCAAAGCTGAGCTTGTCTGATTTGAAACCGTGCTCTTGAACTGCTGTCCTGTGCTGCATGTAATTTATATTGGTGGGGAGAGGGTGTTTGTATGTGTGCATATGTGCATACGTATACACTTTAAAGATGGAAGAAGGCAGGGGTGCCTGGGTGGCTCCATTGGTTAAGCATCCAACTCTTGGTTTTGGCCCCGGGGCATGATCTCGTGGGTTGTGGGATTGAGCACCATGTCCGGCTCCCCATTCAGGGAGATTCTCCTGCTGCCCCTCCCCCATTCATGCTCTTTCTCGGTCTTCCTCTCTCTCTCAAATCTAAAAAAAAAAAAAAAAAGATGGAGGAAAGCATTTTGGTATAATCTCCACTCTCCACTGTGGTAGGATCCCAACATGGATCCTTATATGTTATGTCCCACAAGAGGAATAAATCAGCTAAAAGATGGGACAAGATTGGAGAGTTGACCCAAGTCAGGCATAGATCACTGTCTGGGTGCATGAATATGTGGCGCATCGTTTCACCTCTTTTAATTCTTGCTTTGTCTCTGTACATCAAAGGTTCAATTATCCATGTTAATGGAGAGAACTCAGATGTGAATAACTAAAGAACCAGGAATCTAAGGAGCAATTCAGTAGCAGTTTGCCATTTATATGTGGATTGTTTGTGCTAGATTTATTTCCCTAATCTGTTTGCTTAGTCATCCCAGAATAGTAATAGATGGGCCTGTCCCAAGAGCAAAGATCTAAGTGGATTATCCACAGGGGAATACAGGCAGTTAATTCGTAAGGAAAGGCTTTTGATTTCACTTAAAAGCATAGCTTCAGACTACTGACACTTTTTCTTTTTTTCTCCTGAATTCATTTAGAACTTACGCTGTCAGGAGGATAAGAGAAGCCTTCAGAGAAAATAAGAATGTAAAGGATCCTGTAGAAATTCAAGCCCTAGTGAATAAAGCCAGAAGAGACCTTGGAATAATTCGTCGACAAGTAAGATGGTTTGATGATGTACTGTCTTTAACTAAGAGCTGTAAACTTTGACATATCCCCCTTAATTGGACATCTCTGCTTTTGGTGTTTATGATTTATACCACAGGGTCATGAAACTGCTCCTTTTATTCATATAGACACAGAAAGATGACCTATCATATTACTGAACTCAAGGAGAACATAAAGGAAAATATCAGCTTTCCAGAATCTCAGGGAATGCATCCTTCTGGGGAGCTGCATTCTCATCGTTCACTAAAGGTTGATCTTTAAATATGAGAAACTTTTAAAAAAATGTTGCCCCTTTCTAAGATATATTTACACATTTATGCATAGACATATGTCAAAGAACATAAATATATTCTACTTTTCCTAGTATTTTCAAATCATAACTCAAGGTGATGTTGCCCTTTTCTTGGAGACGTGATCGTTGGTGAGGAAGCTGAATTTTGTTGCCACATGGAAGGTGTATCTGCAGGTGCAAATGATGTAAGGCACAGCTGCTTAGCTACTGACCCCAGAATGGACCCTGGAAGGTGTGTTTGTCTTTGTCTTGTAGAAGTGCCAGGGATCACCTTGATTTGTGCTTGCTGTTCTCTTTCTCCGGAACATCTGCAGCAGCATGGTTTCCTGGGTAGTGTGATATGTCCCTCTTTCTGCAAAATTAATTAGAGAGTCAGAGGCCAAGTAGCCTGCTCTCGGTTGGTTTTCTCACCCTCTAAAAAAAATCATCCTCTTCACTGTTTTTCTTTGATTTAGCAACAATCACACCATAAGCTCCATTTCTGCTTCCATTCGTTTCTCTTACTTGCAGTAAATTTGTTTATAAAATATGGAAGGGAAGTCCCTTATGATTTCCCTCAGTTCTGCCTAGTGGTTTTGGAAAAGGCTTGTTTAGCATTATCAGGAGATACCAGCTCAGCTGACAGCATATCATATCATACTATATGACATATATATGCATATATATATGTATATACGTATACATACATCCCTAACCCTTCTTCATGCTTGACTCTAAACAATTCAGAAAAAGAAGCAATATTAAATACTGTAGTTTTCTCTTTATGTCAAATTCAGAAGTCTTGCAATGTAATGAAACAATCCCTTCTAGAATAACTTTTCAGATTCCGATAACCCTCCTTGAGTTCTCCAGTTATCTATCTAGCAACAGAATAACTTCGCCACATTCAGACAAGCCTAGGAAATGATCTTTAAGGAAGGCCATGAAAAGATAATAGGATAATCAGGAAAAGAAACCGATCTGCGTATTTGCATGTACTGTGATAGTGGCAGGTAAATGAGTTGTCATTTTGAAAACTCTAGGACGATGGCATTTTCCAGGCATCAGTGGTTGAATTTTATGGGCTCCTTTAGCACTGGAACTTGGAAAAAAACAAGCAGCCTGAGTTCTTATTTCGCATAAACTCAGATTCAATTCTTTGGCACTTTCTGATGTAGACGTTGGCAAGCATCTCCCAGACTGGTTTTATCCTTTAGCATAAAGTTGCACAGAGTAGAAAACTGCTTAGAAAAGGTGTCTGTAAGTACTCTGTGCCACCATTTCTTCTGTTATGTAATTGTCTGTGTCACCTCCCAGTTTGAAATGCTAAACCGCCCTTTCAAAAACAGATTAGACTGGCTCTCTTCAGACATCCCCAGTGAATCCACACTCAAAACAGACTCAAACCTACAGACTCAAACCTGCAGCCTCTGGACCAGTGGGGGCCAGGGCGCGCTCCCCAGGACAGCCTGGCAAGTGCACCTTCCTTGCCAGTTGGGGAACAGGTGGGCCTACTTTCAGGCCCAGGGCCCTTCGCCAGGAGAGCAGCAGATGATTATGTTGGCCCTGAAGACTCTGCTCAGAAAGGTTCTGACAAATGAAAACATTCCCATTCCATCAGAGAACTCAGCCAATTACAGGTCAACACCTGGGCAGTTCCTGCTCACTTCCCTTTCTTGTTAAGACTTCCTGAATCCGGGCGCCTGGGTGGCTCAGTTGGTTAAGCGACTGCCTTCGGCTCAGGTCATGATCCTGGAGTCCCAGGATCGAATCCCGCATCGGGCTTCCTGCTCAGCGGGGAGTCTGCTTCTCCCTCTAACCCTCCCCCCTCTCATGTGCTCTCTCTCCATTCTCACTCTCTCAAATAAATAAATAAATAAATAATCTAAAAAAAAAAAAAAGACTTCCTGAATCCAGGTGTCGCACTTACCCTAGTTAGCTTATGAGATGTTAGCGACTCCTCAAGCTGCCTTGCTCTACACTGGTATGAGCTGACCTTGGCCTGAAGGCCTGAAATAAAGCAGTGTCTCTATTTTCTTCTCACTGGCTGCTCCCATAGCCTTCTAACGTGCCTCCCTGATTTCCCCTGCCTGCATGATCTATTCTCCACATACTGCCAGAGTGATCTTTTCTTAAAAGGAAAATTAGAGCAAGTTTTACCCCTGCTCAAAACCCTCCAAAGGCTTCATAGCACCATGGCAATAAAATCTGAAATCCTTAAGAAGTCCTCAAAGGCTGTCCATTGCTCATGGCTCCCTCACACTTTCAGATGCCTTCTTGATGTCCCTGATATACCCCCAGCTTGTTTCCATCATGGAGGCTTTGTACCCTCTGCCTGGAATACTCTCTCCCCAGACCTTCCCGTCACTCAATTCCCTTTTTCCCCTCAGACTTTTATTCCTATTTCACCTCCCCTCAGAGGGCTGTCCTGACCACACTGTCTAAAATAGCTTTCCTCTTGTCACTGTCTCCCATACCCTGCTTTGGTTTTCTTTACAGCATTTATCAGTCCGGAAAATAACATCACGTACTGCCTTGTCTGTTTTATCCTCCTCTGTGAGGATAGGGATCTCCCCTGTCATGGCCACCGTGCCTGACTGGCCAGAGCATGGGCTCTGGGGCCTTCCTGCCTGTGTTCGCATCCTGACTCAGGCTACTAACTATGTGATCTTGAGCCAGATATTTAACCTCTTGGTGCCTAATATAAAATGCAGATGAGAACAGGCCCAACCTCATGGGTTATGGTGAGCATCAAGTCAATTAGTAACCTGTGAAGCCCTTCGAAGGATGCTAGCACATAGTAAATACTTGCTATTATTGTCATCAGGAGTATCTACAAAAGCCCCACCTACAGTGGGCTCTTAATAATCCTCTGTGGACTAAAGGAATATATGAAGATATATTTGGCCCCTGGGATCATACATCTCAGGCAGGGGTTCTGAGCCACCAAATCATGGTATCTCTGGGCAGCAAAGAAGTACCTAAGTACTTCCTACCTCAGACAGTAAACAAGGCCCCTTGGGTGTTTAGTATCAAAAAGAAGAGCAAAAAGGTCAACCATGCTTTCATCTTGGTTCTTTCTTCCATTTTACTGTTCTGAAGGTATTCCGTTTGATTCCTATTTATAAGGCATGAATTAGAATAGCTCTCAGGTAATCACCCCCACTCAGTATAGTTTGTCTTGCCCCTGTGGATTTTAAACAACCAGAGCCTGCCTTGTTTGGTATCACTACTTCTGTGCTCTATACCCTTGCTACTTGAGGTGATCTCTATAAAGACCCGCACCATTGCCCTCACCCAAGGGGCCCTCTCTCACAGAGATTTTGTGTTCTTCAAAGTGAAAGTATTTTCTAAGCATTTTGAAGTAGAGTGGTCACCTTTGTTACATACCTAGCTAAATAGCCACCTGTCTGAGAGAAGAAATAGAAGAGACAGCTGAGGGCAGGAAACTCTGGCTACAGTGGGGAGGCATTACCAGACCCATCTTTCTGTACTTTGACAGAATTTCCCTGAATATGCCAATTAAGATTGTGATTTTAGGAATACTCAGCTACAGCCTAAATGTGTAGCAGCTTTTTCTAGAAACCTGGTGAAAACTCACATATCTGTGCAGAGTTTGGGTTTATTTCCAGCTACATGATGCTCTCCGTGTTCATCAGAGTGCATCCTGTGAAGGCCGTGCTGCCGTCCTGGGTTCTCAGGTAGCAGCACAACTGGGTAGCAGAAGGAGTGTGTGTGTGTGTGTGTGTGTGTGTACATGCACACACGCTTGTGTGCACATGTGTTATGGACCCTTTCCTTAGACAGTTAACTGAGTAAAACCATAATCTCTAGGAGAGGAACAACTATTCCCTATTGAAAGGTTCCCATCCACCAGCTTAAGTAGGCTAGCAGATTTAGCTCTAAATTTCCATCTAAATAATGTTTGGTTCCCCTACCAGGGATGGGCTGTACATGTACTGAAGTAAGGAAGGCATCCCACAAAAGGAGGTTCATGTGTAACTTCAGTATTTGGGTGAGGATACTTGATGCTGTAGTATGTGATTGTACATGCTGGGTAACAACAAGGTTTTGGAGTCATACTGGTCTTGCCAGCAGCTTTTCAGTGATGACGATTTTTTACCACATAGGTCGTTCTTAAGCCAGTGTGGGGTGTTTTTGGGGTTTTTTTGGTTTTTTCTTTTTCTTTTTTTGGCTGGGGGTGGTGCAGGGAGTTAGGAGTTTTCTTTATTTTGCTTTGTTTTGTTTTGGACAAACAACTTCTTTGCATGTATTTTTTTCCTTCACATCAGGTTAAAGTTGCTGTCATTTTAGAATCATTGATTACATCTTTTTTTAATTAGAAAAAAAATCTTTACCTGAATATCTATGTAACTTCATTGCTGTTTATTACAACAAAAAAGTTTTAATTTGTAGATTCCATCCAGTAACATATGAGATTGAAATCCGTCTCTCAAGAAGGTACAGTTATGGCTGAACGTATTTGGTGTTCAGAGTACAGCACGAATAAGAAAAATCCTTGCATGTCATGTGGTTCTTGGTGCAGTCATCTGCGTTCATCTCTCAGAAAGCAAAAGAATCCATTTGATGTTTCAATAAATATCAAAGTAGGGGCGCCTGGGTGGCTCAGTCGGTTAAGCGTCTGCCTTCAGCTCAGGTCGTGATCCTGGGGTCCTGGGATCGAGCCCCGCATCGGGCTCCCTGCTCGGGGGGGAGACTG